CATTCTAGGGGAAAGAGCAGCTCAGATAGGGAAGGGAGCACCAAATAAAGGGTGTTTGGAGGATTCTCCTAGGAGGGGAGATGCATGTTGAAAGTAGACTATGGACTGAACATGATTGTCACTCAATGCCTCTTTTGCAGACCACAACACCCAAAAGGAGAGAGAACAAAAGGGAATGCCCTGCCACAGAGGCAGGGTGGGATGGGGGGGATGGGGGTGGGAGGGATACTGGGATCCGTGGTGGTGGAAAATGGGCACTGGTGGAGGGATGTGTATTTGATCATTGTATAATTGAAACCCAAGCACAAAAATTTGTAAGTCTACAACTGTACCTCATGGTGTTTCACTAATAAAAATTAATTTAAAAAATAACAACAAAAAAGAAATGAGTCAGAAATAGAGGGACAGACATAGAAGAACTGCACTCTTTTGTGGAGTATAGAATAACATAACATGAGGCTGACACCCAAGGACAGTAGATACAAGGGCCAGGAGGATTGCCTCATAGCTGGAAGCCTGCCTCATGAGTGGATGGGAGAAGGCAGATGGAATAGGGAAGGGATCATTAAGAAAATGATGGCTGGAGGAATCAGTCAGGATGGGAGATGTGTGCCGAAAGTAGATAATGGACCAAACATGATGATCTCTCAGTGTCTATATTGCATACCATAATGCCCAAAAGTAGAGAGAGAGTACGGGGAATATTGTCTGCCATGGAGGTGGGGGAGAGGGTGGAATAGGGGATATACTGGGAAATTGGTGGTGGGGAATGTGCACTGGTGGAGGGATGGCTGTTTGATCATTGTGTGATTGTAACCCAAACATGAAAGCTTGTAACTTTCTCACAGTGATTCAATATTTTTTTTAAAAAAGAAGTATTATCCTAGTAAGTAAAATCTAATGTTCATACAAAATTCTATGTATTAACATTTTTGAAACATTACTTATAATAGTTGGGCTGCAGCGATAGCAGAGCGGTAGGGCATTTGCCTTGCACGCAGCCAACATGGCTGACCCGAGTTCGATTCCTCCGCCCCTCTCGGAGAGTCCGGCAAGCTAGCGAGAGTATCTCGCCCTCACGGCAGAGCCTGGCAAGCTACCCGTGACGTATTCGATATGCCAAACACAGTAACAACAAAGTCTCCAATGGAGACGTTACTGGGCCCGCTCGAGCAAATCAATGAAGAACGGGAGGACTTATAACAGTCATAAAGCTTAAATAACCCAAGTCTACCAACTGGTGAATAAAGAAAATGTGCTATATCAAAATAATGGAATATCATTGAGCAAATAAAAAAAGAATTAGGGGCCAGGTCAGTATAGTGGGTAGGCTATTTACTTTGCATACAACCAACCCAGGTTTGATCCCCGGCACCACATGTGGTCCCCTGAGCACTTCCAGGAGTGACCCCTGTGTGCAGAGCCAGGAATAAACCCTGAGTTCTACTGTGTATGGCCCAACAGTTTTCTTTTTTAAATGATCTATTTTATAACACAGATGCTTTGGTTCTTAGGTCACACCTGGCAGTGCTTAAGTCCTACTCCTGGCTCTGCACTCAGGGGACCCTATGTGGTGCCACATTAAACCTGGGTAAGTTGTATGCAAAAAAAGTACCCTAAACCCTGTACCCTAAACTCCAGCCCTGTAAGATAAATCTTAAAAACATTATAAATGAAAGAAAAGGAGAACCGGGGATAAGGTACTTGAGATACATCCCTGGCAATTCCTGTGCCAGGAGTGTTCCATGAGCACAGAATCAGGATCAAACTCTGAACAGCACCTGGTGTGGTACAAACCCCTACATCAAAGGTAAAGGTAAAGGCCCTCCCGTTGATCGTCGATTTGCTCGAGCAGGCCCAGTAACGTCTCCATTGGAGACTTTGTTGTTACTGTGTCTGGCATATCCAATACTCTCGGTAGCTTGCCAGGCTCTCCAAGAGGGGCGGAGTAATCGAACTCGGGTGGGCCATGTTGGCCGTTTGTAAGGCGAACGCCCTACCCGCTGTGCTATCGCTCCGGCAAACCCCTACATCAAAAGAGGGTGAATTTTATTACACATAAATTGTATCTCCACAAAGCTGATAAATATCAGAGGTAATAAAATGATTACTAAAATTTTAATACATAATTTTTTGCATGAACAAATGAAATTTTTACAATGTAGTAGAAAATGTAACATACACCACAGACAAGGATTTTGTTTATCAAAAATATATTTAAAAAACTCCTAAAATAAGGACAAAAATTAAAGTGGATATTATTATTTTTTTGTTTTTTGAGTCACACCCAGCGATGCCCAGGGATTACTCCCGGCTCTGCACTCAGGAATTACTCCTGGTGGTGCTTGGGGGACCATATGGGATGCCAGGGATTGAACTTGGGTCGGCCGCATGCAAGGCAAATGTCCTACCTGCTGTACTACCACTCTGGTCCCTGGATAATTTTTTTTTTAAAAACAAGTAAACAGAATCATATGATGTTCACCTCTTTTGACTGGTACATTTAACTTAGTATAATGTCCACCAGGTTCATTCATAAACTATGGAATAGATTATCTTTCCTTTTTAAGGCTGAATAATATTCTCTATATATATACACTAAACCACATTTTGTTTATCCATCCACTGAAGAAAATCAATACTACCTCCACCTTTGGGTTACTGTGATGACTGGTGCTATGAATATGGGTATGCAAGTTTTCTTCAAGACTGATTTGAGGGTTTGAAGTGATAGTACAGTAGGAAAAATGTTTGTCTTCCACTCTGCTTATCTTGGTTTGGTCTTGGGCACTCCATATGGTTCTTCAAGCATTGCTAGTAGTGATCCCTGAGTGCAGAGTCAGGCATAAGCCCTGAGTTTATACCTGATCACTCCTGAGCACAGCTAGGTGTGGTCTCCACGCAAACAAAAATGGCTGCTTTCAGTTTGTATACGTATTTTGCATATGTATTGTATATGTATTCTGAAGAGTTATTGCTGGATATGGCAGTTACATTTTTAAGGTTTGAAGTCACTCAATATTTCTTTCCCTAAAGTGGTCACATCATTTTGCAATGCCTTGCACAGCGGGTAGGGCGTTCGCCTTACAAGCGGCCAACATGGCCGACCCGAGTTCGATTCCTCCGCCCCTCTCGGAGAGCCCGGCAAGCTACCGAGAGTATTCGATATGCCAGACACAGTAACAACAAAGTCTCCAATGGAGACATTACTGGGCCCGCTCGAGCAAATCGACGATCAACGGGAGGGCCTTTACCCTTTACCAATAAGGTACAAAGGTTCCAAGTTCCATACATCCTTGCCAATAAAACAATACTTTTGTTTTGCTTTGTTTATTGGAACAATAGCACTCTGAATAGGTGTGAGATGGTATCTCAACATGGTTGGTTTTGATTTACATTTCTTTTCTCTGAACATATCTTTATTTTTTATTTTTGCGCAGTACCTGGTTGTGTTCAGGGTTTAATCCTGTCTCTGCACTCAGAGATCACTCCTGGTGGGCTCAGGAGACCCTACGGGGTGCCCGAGATAGAACTTTGGTCATCCGCATGTAAGGCATGTGATCTACCTGCTATATCATCACTCTCATTCTGATATCTTTCTGTCTTTCTGAGTACCTGACTAATCTCATATCTTTCTCATACACTTTACATATACAAAATAAAAATAATGGAAACCAACCAAGATGAAGGGACGACTCAAAATGGAATAGAAACAGTAACTCTGGGAAACGGTGGACAGTCTAGCTCAAAAGGCAATATATATATATACACACACAAACTGAAGAAGAGTAAGTATATTAATAGATTGCAGGTAATGAGAACTGATTTCTCACTGTTAGGAAGAAGAAGTTATAAAACAAAGAGAGAGGGAATTCTGTTCCATAACTGGTATCCTACAGAAAAGTTGAAATCAAAAGTATCAGTATACGATTAGGTTCTGTGACTGGAGATTTTTGTCTATGGAACTGAGATTACATGGGAGAGGGCATGATTTGAGTCACTGGTATAAGGAAGCAAAGAATATGGTGATAGGCGTGGTGTTGGAATGATATATGCATAAAATATGATTAAAGTACTGTAAATCCCAGTAATGATAAAATTATGGTTTCTCATAGTTATGAGTGTCATATATGTGTAAATTCTTTGTTTCTCTGCTTAACACCTGCTTTACTTTTTTTTCACAATGTCCTATCCATTTATTGCAAGAATATTTATGAACCCAATTCAGGCAAACAAACCAAGGAAGCTTTCTCATACATGTGTAATACACAGAAACACTAAAAGAACACGTATTTCTATGGAACTGCAGGTAGTAAAATATAACCAAGTGGTACATTCAGGTGAAATGAGTAAACAAGTTCTATGTGTGGGTTCTTATATCTATAAATTGTCTTCTAGGTCTATTACCTGTTCAGAAGTTTAGAAAAAGTGACACCTGAATAATGTACACTATACCCCCAGAATTCCAGTTTGGTTCCTAAACACCATTTTCCAATAAAAGAACCGAGGTGTCCAAGGATATGTGATTGACTGAAGAACTGAGGCAGGACAAACATACGATTGACAGAGAACCACTTGGATTAAATAAATCTATGAAATTATTATTAAGTTTGTAATATGCACACGTTAAATAAATCTGATGGAACTCGTAAAAGGACAAAGCAGAGACAATTTCAAAAACAAAACAAAGGATAGTGAAAGATGTTAAACCCATTATAAAATAAATATCCATATATCTATATGTGGGAATACATAAGCAAATTAATAAATTTCTTTGAGACAGCTCTTCCTTGTAGCAGAATTCCATTAATAAACTTCTGAAGACAGAATTCATGCATTTTCTATGAAATAAGGTCTTTTAAAATTGACTAAGTTCTAAACAGTCAGAAAGCATGGTAAGATTCCCACCTGAACACCAAGTAATACCCGGAAACTTTAGTATATTAAGAAAAAATAATCTCTTCTTTAACATAGACTTGAAATTAATGTATAACTCTTACTTTATATTTCCAGGCAGGGTACCTCCATGAGCTTGTAGCAATAAGACCTGTAGTTGTTGTACCTGGAAGAAGCAAAGAAAACATCCACTTGCCAATCAATAGCTACTTCATCCCTTGTAAGTGAAATTATCACAATTTGTACCAATGTTATTTTACTTAAAGCCTTAAAAATATTGAAGGTGTTATTAAAAGTATTAGGGTTGATGAGTCAATGAAAAAAAATCAGCATTATGCAATCATCTAGTACTTAGAAGATGGTAGATACTTAAGAATTTAAATGAGTTTCAGTTGAGTAACAATTTTAAAAAATCATATCCAGCACTGGGCTTAGTAATGTAGAGGGAAATGTAAAATTAAACTCTCATTGTGTATTCTCAGGTTTTCAATCCACTTGATGAAGATAAGCCTAAGCATGAAATAGTAGGAAATGATACAGGGAATCAAATTAGTTAAGTACTCTAGGGTTCTGAAAAACAGAAAATGAATGAAATCATAGAAATAGTAAAAGGGAGGCTTCAGGGATAGAGATCTTAAACCACAATGCATATGCAATTATCCTCTCCCATTCCATCCCACAATAAAAAGGTGTATATTTGGCCTCATGTGATCAGTCTCCATGCTTGTACTTTTTTTTTTTGCTGTTTGGGTCACACACAGGTGGTTACTCCTGGCTCTGCACTCAGGAATTACCCTTAGCAGTGCTCAGGGGACTATATGGGATGCTGAGAATCGAATTCGGGTTGACTGGGTGCAAGGCAAATGCCCTACCCACTGTGCTATTGCTCCAGCCCCCATGCTTGTACTTTGGATCTCCACTTCCTTGCCAATTTATGAATCTTACTTATCTCTTGTCCCTGCTCTATTTCATGTATCTTCAACTTTCCCCTTTCTACAAGAATCCTTGTTAATTGTGGTCAAGTCTTTGTGCCATCTAAAAATAAAGGCAGCCTCCCAAGCCTTGCTATCTGTTTTGGTTGATTTAATTTCTTCAAAATTGAAGTTGTAAAGAACATGCACACTGCCTCTTTTTTAAAATTTGGGACTCTTTACTATTTTTATTTTCTTAAAGAATGATTTAAAAAGTTATTAAAAGTTGAGTTTTAGACATACAATATTCTAGCACCAATCCCACTACCAGTGTCAACTGGTTCCAACAGTTTTCCCAAACCCCTTTGCCACCTCAGCCCCCAGCCTGCCACCTTGACAATCACTTCAATCTATTCTAATTTGATTTCTGTCAATAGTATTCCATACACTAAAATAACTTTTGCTAAAAGTGTCAGCAATATTTTATCACTATACTGCAAAAGCACTTTCATGTAGTCATTTCCTTGACTGTTTAGTATCATTTAGTTTACCAACATCATACATTTCTGTTTTCCTTCTACCTGCCTAACTCTTCTTAACTTAGTTCACTCCGTCCTTCTTGTGACCTTTTCTAGTTTTCATGCTGCTCAGGAATTACTTCCAGCAACTACTACTTGGTGTGTACTCCTGGTTGTGATCAGGGGACCATGTGTTATTAGGAATTGAACCTGGGCCTTAAGTATGTATTCCAATCTGTTGGGCTGCCTCTAAGCGATAAAGTTCCTCAAAGCTCAGTATCAATATTCTAAATTGATAACTGCTCCTTTAAGACTTATCTTTGTTTCAATTACCATTTAGAAATTGAAAACTCCTAACCCCCTAAGATCAAGCTATCATTACCTCCAACTTGAATCATTGTAGTAACTTATTTGCGGGGAAGGGCATACATAACTGGATGTGCACAGGTCTTACTCCTGCGTTTCTAATGGGGGAACCATATGCGATGACAGGGATCAAACCCAGGTAGTCCTCATGCGAGACAAGCACCTTATCCATTGTACTCTCTCTCAGGACCTATAGTAATGTATTAATGATCTCTTTCAATCTATTTTTGCTCCACCACAAAACATTTCCAGGCTACCTTTAAATTTTGTTAGCACTGTAGCACTGTCCTCTCATTGTTCAACGAATTTCTCGAGCAGGCACTAGTAATGTCTCACAACAAATTGTGAGACTTTTTGTTACTGTTTTTGGCATATGGAATATGTCATGGGGCGCTTGCCAGGCTTTGCCGTGCAGGCGAGATACTCTCAGTAGCTTGCCAGGCTCTCCGAGAGGGGCGGAGGAATCGAACCTGGGTCGGTCACGTGCAACGCAAATGCCCTACCCTCTGTGCTATCGCTCCAGCCCCCAAATTTTTTTCAATTAAAAAAAATCCCAAATGGAATTAGCTTTTCCTTCTGTATTCCCTGACTCAATGGTTAGTACTTACCACTTATTCAGTTTTCCAAGCAAGAAACCTCGGAATCAACTTTGAGTCTTTCCACTTATTCTTCCACATCAAATGTGTTACCAAGTAAGTCTTACACTCTTCCTATTTGCTTTTGCTTTCCTAAATTTCCCTATTCTCATCCTATTAATAAACTCTCACCTGAGTTATTGTAAGAGTCTACTTTGTTTCGAGCACTAGCATCACACAGTCCTCCAAGAACTTCCAGGAGCAACCCTCTGAGCACTAAGCTATAAGAACCCCAAAGCACTAGCAGGTATGGCTCCAAAAGCAAAACAAAACCACATACATCATGGCACCCTGTTACTTAAAATCTTTAGATTGTTTCTGGGCTTTAATGTAAATTCCAAATTCTTTAACAATTCATACAAGGGCATTCAGGATCTAATGCCTACTTCTCTGCCTCATATCTTACTTACCACATTTATCTTAAATGTCATGACTTAATAACAAAAGATAAGCATGATAATAGAAGTTACTTTAATATCTTCCCAAACTAAAAATATGTAATTCTCATAATGTCTAGTAAAGAAGCTGAGGCAAAAAGTTTATCATTCACTCTCAGACATCAGAAATTTTTCCATCAAATTAAGTCCCTTATACCTGTTGCTTAAGATGATTAAGTTCAGCTCTCTGGGGATCAATATTAACAATAGGCTTGTTCTTGATTTTTCTTGCCCTGTCAGCATAGCGAAGAGTGTTTAATGTTTCCTCCAGATTGGAGTCAGCAGGGCTCACACAAGCTATCATAAGAGTATGGCTATTACCTCCTAGAGAATCTGAAAAAGAATAATGGAAAAAATAAAATCAAGTGAATAGGAGGTACACAAAGCTGCCCAGAGAATTAGTGACTTCAAAATCAGAAAAAGACCAATATTCCACAATGGCCACCATGTATACTCACCCATTGGCCCAGCTTTTACAGACCCATGATTAAATCTCGAAAGAGATCAACAAGCTGAAAAAATTCACAGGTATACTTGTCTCCTGGTTGAAAATGCCAGAGCACCCTTAGGAGTCAAATGGATCTTGTCCCCACCATGCAGAAGCCCAGAAAGCCATACTCACACCCCCACAGCTGCCAATGTGCCAACAGCCCAACTCCACTGCCTCATGACTAAGCTCCCAGGAAGCCAAATTGCCAAAAATGCCAAGTACACCAGTCTTGGGGCTGAGAACTCCTGAGTCTTCTTGGAGTGGCGATCAAAGCCTCCCCCACATTCTACAACTGCTGCTATGTAAACTCATGGCCCAGTTAAATGTTCTAATGTTTCTGGAGTGTGAGGCTGCAATTCTGGCTGCATGACACCTCCAAATTCTACAATACAGACATCCTAGTAGAAGCACAACAAATTAGATAGGAAAGTAACATAGAAGTCAACTAATCTCAATGAGCAAAAATATTAACATCAAATAGCAACAGCTTTGTAAACCATTTGACAAAAACATGACCCCACTGTGAGATATAATAATTTTCACAAATTTTCTTTTACTTAAGTATATTTTGATAATACCATTTGCCATTTAGTTATAACAAGCAATATAAAATAAATAATTTTGTGCCTGCTAAATGGGCAAGCTTGTGGGGTCACTGGAAAAATGGTGACAATAGTGGAGGAAAGGTCACGATGGTGGTGGGATTGATGTTGGAATATTGAATGCCTATAAAAAATATATCATGAACAAATTTGTAAATAGTGTTTAAATAAAGGAAAAAGTCATAAATCATAAATTGAAGTATAATGTAAATCAATTTTTAAGTATCAACACAGTTCCTGTTTCACAATAATAAAACCGCTAAGATTTCTTTAGATTTCTTTTTGTTTTGAGTGCCACTAAGTATTTCATATACATTATCTCCCTTATCCCTTTTCAGCTTTTTTGTTTTTGGGGCCACAACCAGTGGTATTCATGGCTTATTCCTTGCTCTACTGTCAGATCACTCATGATAGGGCTCAAGGGACCATATGAGAGGCTATTGATTGAACCCAGTTTGTCTGTGGACAAGGCAAGTGCTCTGCCTTCTGTATAATTGCTCTGACACAAGATTTCAGATGTAGAAGATGATATTGTTTAGAACACCACTATATATGTCTCATTCTAGAGAAAGACTGTGATTTCAGATGATAATTATATCAAAACACCAGCCTGGAGCCAGGAAAATAGCTTAAGTGTTAGAATATATGCCTCACATATACTAGGCCAATTATGATGCCTGGGCACTGCATGCACTAGATGTGTACCCCCTATTTTTAAAAAAAGTGGGGCCTGCCCAAGTTGTTAGGAGCCACTTTTTAGAAAAAGTGTTCTTAGAAGATATATTTTTCTTTTTGCGTCATACCCAGCGATGCTCTTGGGTTTGCTCTTGGCTCTGTGCTCAGTAGTTACTCCTGGCAGTGCTCAGAGGAACATATGGGATGCCGGAGCTCAAACCTGGGTCAGTCGCATGCAAGGCAAATGGCTTACCCACTGTACTATTGCTCCGGCACCTCCAAGGAGATTTTTAGCTCTTTAAGGATTTCTGCTTTCAATACAAATAATTAAAGTAACAATAAGAGTTCATTTTCAGATACAAAGAACTAAGTATAGTTGGCATTCTACAGATTTCTTCACTCTCAAAGAAAATATCTGAAGACATCTTTCCTTATTTTAAAGCCTACGACTAACAGGTTTTTTTCTGTATTTATCAAAGATCTATGTATGTGATAATCTAAAGATCTGGCTTGTGCTTCTTTCATCTTTGCTTTCTCAGCACTATCATTTTGAATTATTCTTACTTTTATTTTTTATAATTTTATTTATTGAATCACAGTGAGAGCAGTTACAAAGCTTTCGGGTTTAAGTCTTGGACACACAATGAAACACCCATACCTTCACCAGTGCCCGTTCTCCACCCTCAAAAGCACCAGTTTACCATCATCCCACACTCTCCCTCTACCTGTGCGGCAGATGATTTCCATACTACTCTCTCTCTATTTTGATTACATTCAATATTTTGACACCAGACCCACCATTATTATTTGGGATTTTACCCCAACACTCAGATCTGCTGAAAAGACAATTTGCTTTCTATTGCTGGTTATGAATAACATATGATGTCGCATGGCTGCAGTAGTGGCCGCGCAATTTTGAAATTCTGAAATTTTAACACTTAAATCTGGAGGGATTTCTGCCAAAACCTGCTGTGTTCCAAGATTTGTTCCTGAGTCTATGGGGTCATGGTCGTTAAGCAGCTTGATCAGGAGCCAGAAAGGCCATTCATGGACAGCAACTTGGGGTCTTGTTGGGACAGGGAGGAAAGGGCCGGCTCCACCCCATCCTGTGAGGCCACACGCATCTCGTCACTGAGGGCCTAAACCTGATTTTCCAATGGCCTCTGGAGGATGGCAGCCACCGAGGCACCTAGGAGGAGCAGGCAGAGGGACAGCACCCTTTCCCCCCCTGGGGTGGCCTGGCGACAGTAATCTACTGTGGGGTCTGGACACATTTCTACCAAAAGCCACTGGGTTCCGAGATTTGTTTCTGAGTCTCTGGGATCATGGCCATTAAACGGCTTGATCAGGAGCCACAGAGGCCGTTCGTGGGCAGTGACTTGGAGACTCATTGGGGTGGAAAGGGCCAGCTCCACCCCAATCCCCTCAGGCCCCATGTGTCTCATCACTGCAGGCCCAGACTGTTCAGTGGCCTCTGGAGGATGGTGGCCACTGGCACGACAGGGGGAACAGGCCAAGGCATGAAACCTATTCCCACCTAGGTTGGCCCAGCGCTGGTAACCTACTGCAGGGACCAGACGCATTTCTGCCATCAGTCGCTGGGTTTTGAGATTTGTTTCTGAGTCTCTGGGATAATGGCCATTTAACGGTTTGATCAGGAGCCACAGAGGCCGTTCATGGGTGGCGACTCGGGGTCTCGTTGGGGTGGGGAGGAAAGGGCCGGCTCCATCCCCATCCCGTCAGGCCCCGCGTGTCTCATCACTGCAGGCCCAAACCTGAGTGGCCTTTGGAGGATGGTGGCCACCAGGCTGCCAGGAGTAACAGGCCAAGGCATGAAATCTATTCCCACTCGGGGTGGCCAGGCGCTGGTAACCTACTGCAGGGACCAGAGACATTTCTGCCAAAAGCCATTGGGTTTCGAGATTTGCTTCTGAGTCTCTGGGATCATGGCTGTTAAAGCAATTCGAACAGGAACCAGAGAGGCCATGCCTCCAATTATATAGCTGAGCCTGATATGGTTTGTGGGTATGTCTCCCACATACCTAACTTTTGGCCGTTTACTTTCTTGGTAAACTTTGCCCCCCAAGTATTTGGGGTCTGTCCAAAGGCACAGCAGCAATTTTGGGGTATCTGAAGTCTAAAGGCGCCATAAGGCTCCTGATGCACTCGCCTCATAGGCACAGACTGACCTGCTGGCGGCACCATACCCCCAAGTTATTCTTACTTTTAAGGTGCACTTTGGGCTTACCTTGAAGCAGTCGAGTCAACTTGGAATCTCTATAAGGCACAAAGCCACCTTTTTTATCATCTCCAAGAGCACTTATTACATTTCCCAGGCATAGAAGACCTCGGTTAATATTAATACCTAATAGCAGAAAACAACATTTAATTTACTTGCTAAAGCATCTAACATATACATACATCTATCTTGAGAAGGAGGAAAGAAATAAAGACTCTATGGACCCATTTAATCATCAATTTCAAGGAAATTTTTCATCTGTTCGCTTTTTGAGAGTATCCCTTTAAATAGTTTAAATGACAAAGGTACAAATGTTGAATAAGCACAACTGTGTCTGTTGGGACTTCTTGTTTTTTCCCATGGAAACATGATATCACCATGATGACAACCATTTGTATAATCATTTACTTTTTACATCCATTATCATACTTAAACCTTAAATTGATGCTGTGGAATTAGATAAACAACTCTTTTTATTATCATATTATTATTATTACTGTCATTCTTATTTTATAGTGCAGAAATTAAATCAGGCCCAGGTATATGCCTTAGCAGAAAAGCACATGCCTTGCATGCATCAGACCTGGGTTCAATTTCCAGCACTATCAAAAAAAGAGGAAAAAATTAAGCATAGAGTAAATCAGTGAACCATGAATCAGTGCCAGTTTGCAGGCACAATAGAGGCTGAAAACTGCTGACTACCATATTCAGATTAGAACAGTAGTCTTGGTCTCAGGAGCAAGTCTACAGGTATAAAAAAATTACAACCCACTGATTTAAAGGTGGTAAATGTAGGAAATTCAGTCAAGTCCTACACTCTATTAATCCATACTAGAATATATTTCTTCTTATTACCTCAAAAAGGGTAAAGATTCTTTTCCATTTCTTTAATTTCTATATATTTTTAAATCACTGTAAAAATCTATGAGGTTTCTCTATAGCCTGTGACCACCCCTTGATTATATTTACTGTGAAAATTCTATGTATTACATATAATTGCTAAGTACATAGGTTTTGGTGTCAAATCTAGTTTCTAATATTGGCTCTCTTACTAACTAGCTACACGATTTGGGATAAATTCATCTATAAAATGAAGTAAATTTATCTATTTCATTGGGTTGTAGTGGGAAATTACATAAAACTTTATATAAAATAAAGTGAAATGGTAAATGGTGTTATTAGTAACATACTTCATGAATCCCGCTATTCACCCTTACTGTGACTAAGTTACTGACACTTTCAAATACTCCCAGTAGCCAATCCTTTCTTGGGTCTGAAACTTCCTACTCTTGATGCTGTGGTTAATCATTTGCTTATGACCTTCTGCTTTTTGATGTCAATTTTAATCATAGATTAAGCCAACTCTGTATTTGTCTGCAAATTTCTGTAAGAAACAATGCTGAAGAATGTCTTAAAATCAAATGAACTAAATCCCTCAAAAATGTTATCACCCAAGCACAAAATTTGTAAGTCTACAACTGTACCTCATGGTGTCTCACTAATAAAAAAATAAATTAAAAAATGATATCTGATCATAACTGAACCCCTTAATCATTTGACAATATTTTCTTTCTCATTCCTACTTCACCCCCGGCAACTTTTCTAGCAGTTTATGATTTTGAAGACAAAATCCACCTTTACTTTATTAGTGGATTTCAACAAGTACATTAGAGATCAAAACTATCCATAATGGCCCCATAATTTTTCCTCTCCTAGCCTCATTGTCTTTGCTACTACTTACCCCTTCATCTTTCTTGTTTCAAGAGAATAAAAGAATTTTTATATTCCCTTTCCCTATGCCAATGTTTCAAGTCATTGTATTTTCTTTGAAAGCTTGAATCCTTTAAACTTTCCCCACTCTCTTAAACTTTCAATTTAGTTCCTTCATCTTTTTTTTTCAGTATATGCAAATGCTAATCTCTACATATGAAACAAAATCAATTCCCTTAAGCAACCCCTGTTTCTTTCCTTCCTTCTCATTTGTCAATTAAATCATGGTTCTTTAATAAAAAACTAAAAAAAGAAAGATGGAGATTTAGAATTAAAATAGACAGTACTGTAGCACTGTCCTGTTGTTCATTGATTTGCTCCAGTGGGCACCAGTAAGTCTCCATTGTGATACTTGTTGTTACTGTTTTTGGCATATCAAATACACCATGGGGAGCTTGCTGGGCTCTGTCGTGTGGGTGGAATACTCTCAGTAGCTTGCTGGGCTCCGTGAGAAGGACGGGGAAATCGAACCCAGGTCGGCCACATGCAAGGCAAATGTCCTACCCACTGTGCTATCGCTCCATCTTTGAAGAGAATTAAAATAAAGGAAAATAAATGTTCCTCTATAAAGAAATCATTACAAAACAGGATTTTGTTTCTTGTTATTAACAGATCAAAACAAGTTCTTGTTTTTTGTTTTGAGAGGCTACAATCAGCAGTGTTCAAGGTCAATTCCTGGGTCTGTCCTGGAAATATGGAGAACCATATGTGATGCTGGGGACTGAAACTAGATTGGCGATGTGCGAGGCAAAATGCCCTACCTATTGTACTTTATCTCCAGCCCCTAAAACAAGTTCTCAATATGCATGAAGTATATATCCTAAAACTGGGTAAATAATTTTTCAGAAACTTTCTGATCAAAATGGCTATAGAGAAAACCATTTTTTCCAGATACAATTATAAGTCAAGATTGGTAGATTATAAGCTTCATACATATAAGTTCCTGGGATCAATCCATGGCACACCTCCTCTTAAGTTATAAAACCACAGAAATAATCTCTTATAAATATGAACAGTTAATTTATGACAAAGTAGCCAATGATGTGAAATAAAGAAAAGAAAGCCTACAAATGGTGTTGGAAAAATTGATCAGCCACAAAAGAATGAGACTGAATCATTATCTTAAAATATGCACAAAATCTAACCAAAAATAGATTAAATACTTAGATGTTCTACCAGAATCTATAAAATGCATAGGAAAACAGTTCATGATATTGACTTTGGTAGTGTCTTCAGGGATTTGAATCAACTGGCAAGGAAAACAAACCTAAACAAATAGTACAAATAGTATCACATGATCACATTAAAGTGAAAAGCAGCACTGAGAAAGAAATGATTATTAAAACAATAGGACATCCTACTGAATGAGATAAAAGATCCGCACACCTTCTCTCCAAAGGGAACACCAAATAAAGGGTGTTGGGAGGATCCTCCCAGGATGGGAGAAGCATGCTGAAAGTAGACTATAGACCAAACATGATTGTCACCCATTGCCTCTTTTGCAAACCACAACACCCAATAAGAGAGAGAGAACAAAAGGGAATGCCCTGCCACAGAGGCAGGGTGGGATGGGGGGACAGGGGGTGGGAGGGATACTGGGATCCATGGTGGTGGGAAATGGGCACTGGTGGAGGGATGGGTATTTGATCATTGTATAATTGAAACACAAGCACAAAAATTTGTAAGTCTACAACTGTACCTCATGATGTCTCACTAATAAAAATTATAAAAGAATTTAAAATAAAAGTCACTAATAGTGTAAAAAAATAAAATATTGTTTAATAAAATTACTGTATATTAAATTTAAAAAAAGATCTGCACACCATACATCTGGGAAAGGGCTAGTAACCAAGACATATAAAGCATAAACAAAATGGAACAAAAACAATACCATCAAAATGGGAAGAGCTGAACAGACATTTATCTAAAAAAGATATACAGATGGTCTACAGGCACATGAAAAATTGCTCATCATCACTGATCATCTGGGATATGCAAATCAAAATGACAATGAGATATCACTCCACGCAAGTCAGAAAGGGCTATATTAAAAAAAGGTCAGCAACAAAAAGAGCTGGGGGAAATGTGGAGAAAAAGGAATCTTCATTCATGTTGGTCGGAATGTAAATTAGGCCAATTTCTAATGGAAAACAGTATGGAAGCTGTCTGTTCCTCCCCATATGACAGAAGCTCTTCCATCTTGTGCAGAGCCATTCACATCTCTGAGATAAGATAGCGAAAGTCAAATGAACAGATTTGGCCTTATTTGGCACTTGGTTTCCAGGGCTGCTTCTAACTTGGGCAAAGTAGAAATTGGAGCCATCAATGACTCCTTCATTAACCTCAACAATATGGTCTACATTTTCCAGTATGATTCCACACACAGCAAGTTCAAGTTAAGATTAAGGATGGGAAGCTGCTCTATCTCCTGGTACCAAGATCCAAACAATATCAATTGGGGCGATGTTGGTGTAAATGTTGTAGAGTCCACTGATGTCTTTAACATCCTGGGATTCACTGGAAGGTTCAGACAATAAGGGTTATTCATAATCTCTCCTCATTCTGCTATCCTTATGTTTGAGATGGTTGTGAAGTGTATGACATCTCCCGTGAGACTGTCAGCAATGCCTCTTGCACCACCAACTGATTAGCCATCCGCTCCTTTGTCAATTTCATCCATAACAACTCTGACATCATTAATGGTCTTATGACCATAGTTCATGCCATTACTACTACCTAGAATCCTCTCTGGCCAACTACAGCATGATGGCCAAGGGGTTTTCAAGAATATCATTTCTTCTTCTAACTGGCTCTGCAAGACTGTGGGCAACGTTATCCCTAAGCTATATGCTCAGTTGACTGGCCTGGCCTTTTGTGCCCTGATTTCCAATTAATTGGTGATGGATCTGACCTGCAGCCTGAAGAAAGCCACCAAATACAATGAGATGAAGACGGTGGTAAAGCAGATATCATAAGCAATCCCCTCAAGGATATCATGGGCTACAGTAAGGACCTGATAGGTTCCTGTGGCTTTAACAGTGATACTTACACCTCCATCTTTGATGGGCAGGCATTGCTCTCAGCATTCCCTTTGTCAGCTGCTTTTCAGGCATGAGAACTATTAAGGCTACTTTGAACAGGCTGGTGGGCATGATGGTTGACATGACTTTCAGAAATAAGAAGAGCCGAGAGGACCAGTAGCCCCAGTGACAGCATTAGAGGAAGAGGTCCTCAGCTGCTAAAGAGTCCTTTCTGGATTCGGTAGACGAAATTAAAAACTCAGTAAGTGCCCTTAGCAGTAGGATGAGTATAACTGAAGACAGGATCAGAGAGCTTGAAGAAGAGCAACAGAAATC